AGAGATCATTCTTAAAATCAGCCTTCAAGTATGTAAGATGTATCTTATAGAGGTTGACAAACACTAGAATAAAGAAGTAGAAAAAAGAAAAAGAAGACATAGGCTTAAGCTGCAGGATAAGAACTCAAAAAGATAAGCAAAAATCCCATAAAATGGCTACCAACCATGAGATAAGTTAAAAAGGGAATTTCAGAATGTTTTTCTTAGGTATTATTTTATTTATTTATTTATTTTTGTTGTTGAGACGGAGTTTTGCTCTTGTTGCCCAGGCTGGAGTGCAATGGCATGATTCCGGCTTACGGCAACCTCCGCCTCCCAGGTTCAAGCAATTCTCCTGACTCAGCCTCCAGAGTAGCTGGGATTACAGGCGCGTGCCACCACGCCTGGCTAATTTTTGTATTTTCAGTAGAGATGAGGTTTCACCATTGTTGGCCAGGTTGGTCTACAACTCCTGACCTCAGGTGATCCACCCACCTCGGCCTCCCAAAGTGCTGGGATTACAGGTGTGAGCCACTGCGCCCAGCCAACTTTATTTTTAACTTTTTATTATGAAAAATTTCACAAGTACACAAAAGATGAGAACTTTATTCGCCTACTTTAAAATTTATCAACATTCTGCTATTCCAATTTCATTCATTTACCCTCATTCCTCACTTTTTATTTTTCTTCTGGAGTATTTTAAAGCAATTCTCAGGCAGTTTTTTGTTTTGTTTTGTTTTGGTGGAGGGGGGAATAAATTAGTATTTCTAAATGGTAATATCTTTAAAAAAAATGGTAAAGCCATGAAATCACTCTGTCATCATGTCTATAAATTCTTTTATTTCCCTCCAATAAACAGGTAGAACTAATTCTTCTCTCTTGAATGGGGGTTGGACTTAATGACTACCTTCTAATGAGAGGAATATGGTGGAAGTGATGGCATGTGCCTTCTAAGACTAAGTCAGAGAAGGCAACGAGGCTTCCTCCTTGCTAGCTCTCTTGGATCACTCACTCTGGGGAAGCCAGTTGCCATGTTGTAAGGACACTCAAGGCCCCTTAAGAAGAGGCCCACTCACAAGGAACCAAGGCTTTCTACCAGAAACTATATTAGTGAGCCATCTTAGAAGCAGATCCTTCTGCCCCAGTAAAGTCTTCAAATCACTGATGGTCTTTGCCTAGAACTATTAATTCATCAGAAGTTGTATAAGGATTTTCCAGTTCTATCATTCTGTGATTCTTCTATTTATGAACTGTGATTCCACTACCAAGTATTTTCCAACATTATCTCTTTGGTACAAAGAAATTACATTTCATACAACAAAGGCAAGATAAATCCTTGATTTTTTAATTTATTGATTTGGCAAATAAATTTACTCTAGTAACCTCTACAGCATTTCATGAGGTTTTTTTTTCCCCTAAACAAGCAAAGTAAATTGGAAAGTCTTTATACTGATGTGCTCTAACCTGCTACGATAATTACTTTCTCCATGCTGTCTAATCTTTGCTCAGTAAAAGCCCCAACAGCTAGGCTCCTGTGTTCTTTTGATAAAACTCCAGTCATCCTAAATAGCTTCCTGGCTTTCAGGCAAGCTGTCCTGAGATCACCGTGTACATTTCCTCTGCCAGATCTGGGATCACCATTTATCCATGGAACTCTGGTTCCTTTGAGAGGGAAATGGTACTTAGAGATCACAATCTGAATGCTAGGGGTGTTGGTTACTACTTGTTATTGCTTTTAGGCATTTCCAAAAGAGAGTGCTAGAAAATAGTTTTACAAAGCTAAAAAAATAAATTATGGGTCAGGTGCAGTGGCTCATGCCTGTAATCCCAGCTGCTCGGGAGGCTGAGACAGGAGAAGCACTTGAACCTATGAGGTGGAGGTTGCGGTGAGCCGAGATCATGCCATTGCACTCCAGCCTGGGCAACAAGGGCGAAACTCTGTCTCAAAAAATAAATAAATAAAATAAATAAATATTTCAAACTATATCTCCAAATTAAGTTACAAATTACAGGATTCTGCTAGGTGTGGTGGCTCACGCCTGTAATCGTAGCACTTTGGGAGGCCAAGGCAGGCAGATCACCTGAGGTCGGGAGTTCGAGACCAGCCTGACCAACATGGAGAAACCCCAGCTCTACTAAAAATACAAAATTAACCAGGCGTGGTGGTGCATGCCTGTAATCCCAGCTACTTGGGAGGCTGAGGCAGGAGAATCATCTGAACTCAGGAGGTGGAGGTTGCGGTGAGCCAAGATCATACCACTGCACTGCAGCCTGGGCAACAAGAATGAAACTCTGTCTCAAAAAAAAAAAAAAAAAAAAAGAAAATTACAGGATTTTTACTTAAAATCTTTGATTTTGTTTGTATCACTTTCCTCTCCTGTTTAAAATCTTGGTTTCCATGATAGTAACATTGATGACAGAATAACAACTCCATATAACTAACATTAACACTACTGAATGCAGTATAAAATTTGTCCCTGGGTTTTTGTTTTTATCCTTAGCAATATATCCCATGAAGAATATACAGTCAAAATCCCATGTTTTAAAGTTATTTAAATTAAGTTAGGTTTTTTCCTCCAGTTTATTTTCAGTTGTTAGAGGCTGCTTTGTTATTGCATTTTTATTTTTGTTTTTAAATTGTTTAAAATGTGTACATGGTTCCAAGGTCAAAGGTACAAACAAAATTCATTCAAGGGCATCTAACTTCCACCCCTTTTGCCTTTCCTGATCTCTCCTTCACCCTTAAAGTCACTAGTTTTATTAGTTTTTCATTTATTCTTCCATTATTTCTTTTTGAATCCCCATACCTTTTCCTACACAAAAAATACACATCATACAAATTCATTTGCTATACTGTGATTTTTTTTTTTCCATTTAATGGTATATTCTGGAGATCACACCATAGCAAAATATATAAAGAGCTTTTTTGTTCCTTTTTACAAGTATGTTATATCCAGCTCCATCGGAAAAGTATTTCCATTGTTTCCCGTTTTTCTGTTAATAATTGTGTCACAATACACAGTCTTGTGTGTACATATCATATGCAGTTTATTTTATGGACAGATTCCTAGAAATGTGATTTCTTGGCCAAAGTGGAAAATGCATTCACAGGTTTTCTAAACATTACCAAATTCCCCTCAACATGGATTGTACCACTTTTTATTCCACCAGAAAAATATGGGAATGCCTGTATCTCCAAAGTGTAACCAAATGAGCATCTTATCCATCTCTGTTTTTCTGAATTTGACTTAGATCTGATTTCCCCAATGCAGGACTTTCTAATATCTCTGTGATATATGATCCCTTTCACTGTATGCAGTGAACAGAAGTCTTATGGAAATGTAATATTACACATATTCGATATATGCAGGATAGACAAACAGTTCTTCAAAAAAATCAGTTTTTAGTGTCAATTAATTCATCAAAACAAAGTACCAAAGAGCATGCAGCTTGGTATCTTGCTTTTAACAATGACTTCTTTGCTTTCTTTCCTTGATTAAATAATTGTCTTAAGTAATTAGTTAAGGGCTCTACAGAACTCCAACCCAAGTTCCAGTCTCATATTATCACTAGTAGTTTGATTTCTTAATATTTTTCTGCCACTTCTAATTAGTTAATTCTCTCAGTCACCCAGGCCAGACCCTCCAATTATCTCTCATTCTCTTCTCTATATGTCTGTTACCTAAGCAATCATCAAGATGTATTCCAGATTTTTCATTAAAAGAGTTCTCATACATTGCTCATTTTTAAACCCTATTTCTACCCTAGTCCCCATACTCATTATCTAATGCCAGGGCTACTGGACTATTATCTTAACCAGTCTCCCAGTCTCTACTCTGCTGTGCCCACCATAAATTACCCACTGTCAGTTTCACATCTTGATCAAATGCCACTAAGGCCAACACGCTACCCACGAAGATGCTTTTCAACCTGTGCTCCAAGGAGATACTTCACTGTTATACCAACAAAACAGGTCTATTTAAATTTTTTTTCACATATTACATTTCCATAAGATTTCGTGTGTGTGTGTGTGTGTGTGTGTGTGTGTGTGTGTGTGTGTTTGGGGGACAGAATCTCACTCTGTTGCCCAGGCTGGAGTGCAATGGCGTGATCTTGGCTCACTTGCAACCTCCGACTCTTGGATTCAAGTGATCATCCTGCCCCAGCCTCCCAAGTAGCTGAGACTACAGGCACACACCACTATGCCTGGCTAATTTTTCTATTTTTAGTAGAGACACGGTTTCACCATGTTGCCGCTGGTCTTGAACTCCTGGCCTCAAGTGATCCGCCCACCTTGGCCTCCCAAAGTGCTGGGATTACAGGCGTAGCCACCATATCTGGCCTCCATAAGATTTCAATTGGGAAAAAAGTGTTCTGCTGCTGAAAACAAAGCACGAGTACAAAAGCCACAGGTCTACAGAATATAATCTGGCTTTGTTGTGCCAACTCAATTTTCTCTTGCTTCTCTTTATTAATGGGTTCATATATTTAGTAATACTTTAAAACCTAGTATTTGCCAGTTTTAAAGTAATAAAGTAATACTTTAAAACCAGTATATTGCCATTGTCAACCAATAAAAAAAGACATGTCTGCACCTTCAGAAAATCTACAGCCTACTATAAGACAGATTAGCAATTACAATGAAATGTGCTATATACTCCCGAGAGAGAGAGAAAAAAAAAACAACTCTGTACGTAACCAGGGAAGTGAGAACGTTCTCCGATCCTGAGTTTCATAAAAAGTGTAAATAATAATAAGCCTCTTTATTATTCTATAGGGCTATAGGCAAAGCAGCCTCTGGGGAAAAAAAAGTTTTAATTAAAGGAAGAATGTGGAAGAAATGTGAAAAAGACGCAGAATAAAGAGCAGTCTGTTAATGGTGGATAGAATTCTATAGGACACAGTGATATGGTCTGGGAGGAAAATGAATGGTATGAAGTTAGGATGGAGAGAGAAAGCACAGTCAAGATAAGGGACCTTAGAGTTTTTATCTTGAGTAATGACCAAGATCTCTCTCTCTTTCTTTCTTTTCTTACACAGACATGTAAGGTATTAATTTAACTGGTTACAAGCAAATTAGTTGCGGAAGGAGGGTAATCCATTTGGGATTCATCCGTGGCAGAGACAGATGACTCTTCTGATAGAATTCCTGGTGGATGAGAAGACTTCTGTTTCCCTGTAAGTAGACACCTGTGACCTCTATTAATCTCTTGGGTTCTAGGGGAAAATTCCATGCCCACAGCTTTAGTCATATAGGTGCTAGATGCTGAGACCCTGTGTGTCAATGGGCTCCCCACGGGTGAGCAACAGGATATCTTTTTTTTTGAGATGACGTCTCGCTCTGTTGCCTAGGCTGGAGTGCAGTGGTGCCGATCTCAGCTCACTGCAACCTCTGCCTCCTGGGTTCAAGTGATTCTCCTGCCTCAGCTTCCCAAGTAGCTGGGACTACAGGCGCATGCCACCACGCCTGGCTAATTTTTTGTAGTTTTAGTAGAGACGGGGTTTCACCATGTTAGCCAGGATGGTCTTGATCTCCTGACTTCGTGATCTGCCCGCCTTGGCTTCCCAAAGTGCTGGGATTACAGGCGTGAGCCACTGCACCCGGCCTAGGATATCTTTTTGGTATCCCATTCAGAGCTCTGCAAGTTGCTATGTACACAGTATATATTTAATGTTTCTGAATATAAAAGTGAATATTCTTCATGACACTGATTTAAAGTCAGTAAAGTTTCCCAAATTAACTTGAAGGATCAATAAAAAGAAAATTTTAATAGGGTCTCCCTCTGTCACCCAGCCTGGAGTGCAATGGCACAATGACAGCTCACTGCAGCCTTGAACTACTGACCTCAAGCAATCCTCTCACCTCAGCCTCCTGAATAGCTGGGACTACAGGTTCATGCCACCATGCCCAGCTAAACTTTTAAATTTTTGTAGAGATGAGGTTGCCCAGGCTGATCTCGAAACTCCTGGCCTGAAGTGATCCTCCTGCCTCACACTCCCAAAGTACTTTGATTACAGGTGTGAGCCACTACACCCAGCCCATAGACAAATTCATCTGAAGTCAGACTGCTTGAATTTAGCTTCCAAATCTGCCCTTTATTATCTGTATGTGGTACTGGGCAAATTAATGTGTCTTAGTTTCCTTATCTATAAAAATAGTGATAACAACAATAACACCCAACTCACAAAATTGTGAGGATCGAATAAATTAAAACACATGAAATACTTAAAACAATGCCTAGTAGACAGTAAGCACCTTCCTGAGGCATTATTTTCATAAGGCATGAGATCTTTTAAAGTCTTGCACTGCTATACAGTGCAATGAATATGTTAATTTACTTCTTCAAATTTCAACAATCACTTCATGGCTGGCCTATGAAGTTGTTTCTTACCTGGATCAAAATTATCACCAAATATTCTCTTGGCAGGAATCTTCAGGGCCATAGCAGGAAACTGTTTTTTTAACTAAAATTTTTAAAAATAACATTATATGAACTAATTTTAAAAGTCTTCTAGTTATGCATACATCAAAGCCAAATACAATCTGATTTTAAAGAAAATCCATCATAAGACATACTTTTGAATTTATGATCATCTGAAGTACAATATAAATTATACCAATAAAATGTCACAAACTAGTCATCTTTTTTGGTCCCAATAAAATAGCTGGTATCTGTGTGACCTAGAATAAAATACTCAACATCTGCATCTCATTTTCCTGCCTGTAAAGTGAGGATAATTTTAACAATTACCTTACAGATTTGTTGTTTTAAAGAAGATTATGTATGGCAAGTGCTTAGGCTAGAACCTGGTGTTACAGTTCCGAATACGTATTACTCACTTATTATCTTAGGAGAAGATATGATCTTGGTGTTTTCTCTACACGGATTGACAATAGATTTCTAAGAAAGTAGATGAATTTTGCTTTCAATATCCTTTCTGCTCTAACCTTCCCCTTATTAATATTCTAATAAGTGAGACCTCATCTCTACAAAAATAAAATTAAAAAAAAATACCTAGTCATGGTGGCACATGTCTGTGGTCCCAGCTACTTCTAAGGCTGAGGTGGGAGGATTGCTTGAGCCTGGAAGGTTGAGGCTGCAGTGAGCCATGATTATGCTATTGCACTTCAGCCTGGGCAACAGAGTGAGACCACGTCTCAAATATATATATATTTTTTCTAATACATTTGTTTATCAGATATGCTTGTCTTCAGAGAAGGAAAACTTGGCCCTGAGGAAATTAAATTTGGGGCAGTTAAGTCACAAAAATGGGTTATATTTTCATTATAAGTTTGATGTCAAAAATACACACACATATGTAAAAACTGTATTTCAGCTGGGCATGATGGCTCACTGAGGCCTGTAATCCCAGCACTTTGGGAGGTTGATGTGGGAGGATTGCTTGAGCTCAGGAGTTTGAGACCAGCCTGGGCAACATAGCAAGGCCTTATCTCTACCAAAAGAAAAAAAAAAAAAATCAGCTGGGTGTAGTCCAGCTATACAGTATGCAGGAGGCTGAGGTGGGAGGATCACTTGAACCAGGGAGGTCAAGGTTGCAGTGCGCCATGATCACGCCATTGCACTCCAGCCTGGGTGACAGAGCAACAACCCGTCTCACCAAAAACAAACAAACAAAAAAAACCACCCCAAAACGATACCTCTAACTACCAACTGATAGGAAATACAAAGAACAGAGGAATGTACTAATCACTTTACTGCATGGGGCATGCTGTCAGTAAAATGCAGACTGAAAAATACGTAAACAAATGACCTTGTTTTTTTTATACACACACAAAAAAAAAATGTGTAAAGGAAAGAAAAGAAACGCAGAGGGGGAACCTCGTGATTAAATGACACTTAACAGACTTATCAACCAGTCACATAAACCCTAACTGGATATCTGATACTAAGGCATTACTGTTCATTTATTTTTAGATGTGGTAATGATACTGTGTATACGTTTTGTTTTTAAGAATCTTTATCTTTTAGAGATGTATACTAAAATATTTACAGATGAAAAGATATGATGTCTGAAATTTGTGTTGAAATTATGACGAGCTGGCTAGGGATAGAGATAAACCAGGAATGGTCATGTATCAGTAATTATTGAAGCTGGATGGTAACATATTATTATTTTCTGAATTGGTACTAGTATGTCTACTTCTGTATGTGTTTGACAATTTCCTTCCTTCCTTCCTTCCTTCCTTCCTTCCTTCCTTCCTTCCTCCCTCCCTCCCTCCCTCCCTCCACTTCCTTTCCCTTCTCTTTCCCCTTCCCTTCCCTCCCCCTCCCCCTCTCCCTCTTTCTTTTTTCCCTTAAGATAGTCTATAGCTCTATCAACCAGGCTGGAATGCAGTGCTGACCTCCTGGGCTCAAGTGATCCTCCCCTCAGCCTCCTGAGTAGCTGGGACCACAGGGCACACATCACCACACCTAGCAAGTTGTTTTATTTTTTGTAGAGACAGTCTCATTAAGTCATTGCCCGGGCTGGTCTTGAACTCCTGAGCTCAAGCAATCCTCCTGCCTCAGCCTTGCAAAGTGCTGGGATTATAGGTGTGAGCCACTGTTCCTCGCTTGTGTTTGACAATTTCTATAATAAAAAGTTTAAAATATAAACTAGTCATAAAGGACACATTGAAGTTGACAAAATGCCTAGAGATTTTTTCTTTTCTTTTATTCTAAAAGGAGTACAGGAAAATAATTTGTGTTTTTGAACTTAGGGAAATCCAGACCAGGTTCAACCTGATTTCTGTAGTTTCAAATAATTCAACCAATAACTATTTTCCTATTTTTTTCTTTGCCCCTCACTACAGGAGGCAGAATTACAAGGAGTTACATAAAAAGAGACATAGAAAGTGATGAAATAAGAACAATGAAAAAAGGGTGAAAAGAAATACAAAAGAAATTAGGGAGACAAATGATAAAACCTGAACTACAAGTTAAGGAAACTCTTCTGCAAAAAGTCGAAAGATGGGATGTTTCACAGAAGAGAGAATGAAAGTGATCATGGATGGAGGTACCCCAAACAAGCTTTCCTATTTTATTTTTATGCTTACAGATACTCAAATATTGACAATTTAATTAATCACCTGCTATTAAAATCATGATGACACACTATCAGTGTGGATCTCCACAATGCTGAGTTTTTAGATGACATTCCCTACACCCCTTCCTCTTATGAAGAGTTTCACAAAAGACAACATCTTTAGAAGGTAAATCTAGCCTACGAAATATTTTAAGCAAAAGACAGAAAGAAGCCTCAAATGTATGTGGTGTATGTGGAGTGTGTGTGTGTGTGTGTGAGAGAGAGAGAGAGAGAGAAAGAGAGAGACACAGACACTACAGTCATGTTATTTTTACCCGAGCATAACCCAGGCATCCTGATGGGTACAGGTGGATTTACACACTCCTCAAAGACATGCTGAACATGTAGATAATGCGTATTCAAGAGTTTCAAAATGAGCTAACATTTCAACCCTCACTCAGCCTCTAATATATGCCATTTTTTAAAAAATCACTAAAAACTTACGGAAGATATTTCCATGCACAAACTCTTATTGACTACTGTTTCAACAGTATAACTTTAATTACAGGAAAAAAAAACCTATCTCAATATCCTTTGATGAAGCAAATATCTAAAACTACACAGGTTGAATATCACAAATCTGAAAATCTGAAATGCTGCAAAACCAGTAACTTTTTGAGTGCTCAAAGGAAATGCTCACTGGGGCATTTCAGATTTCAGATTTTCAGATTTGGGATGGTTAACTGGTAAGTACAACTCAAATATTCCAAAATTTGAAAAAAAATTTGAAATCCAAATCACTCTGGTTCCAAGTATTTCAAATAAGGGATACTCAACCTGTATTTAGTAAGTGCAGTTGCATATGCATTAAAGAAAAACTGAAGAACAGAAGAAAACGTAAAATGTTAAGTTATTTCTGAGCAGCAACATTACAGGTGTTTTGTTCTAGCTTTTGTTTTGAGACAGGGTATCAAGAATGCAGTGGCATGGTCATGGTTCACTGCAGCCTCAACCGCCCAGGCTCAAGTGGTCCTCCTACCACAGCCTCTGAAGTAGCCAGAACTATGGGTATGTGCCACCACACTAACTTCTTATTTTTATTTTTTTTGTAGAGATGGAGTCTCCCTATTAATTTTACATAGGAAAAAATAAATATTTTTAAATTGCAGTATTATCTTCAGAAATTCAATTTCAAGTAGCAAGTGATCTGAGTATTAGGAACAAATATACACATAGTGAAATGCTAAATAAAGATGAATCAGAAGTGTAATTTTCATGACTTAAAACACAGGATGTGGTACAGCTAGACATTGTTTGATTCATTCTGACCCATTTAGGAATTTGTTTCTTAATTGATATATGTGTAACTTTCCTCATATTCAAAAATATCTTACAAATAATAACCCACAGGCATATATTTATTCCTATGTTTAAAATCAAGAGACAGGGTTAAGAAATTTAAAAATTCCCTTCTTTTTTTTTTTTTTGAGATAGAGTCTCGCTCTGTGGCCCAGGCTGGAGGGCAGTGGCACAATCTTGGCTCACTGCAACCTCTGCCTTCTGGGTTCACGCCATTCTCCTGCCTTAGCCTCCCAAGTAGCTGAGACTACAGGTGCCCACCACCACGCCCAGCTAATTTTTTGTATTTTTAGTAGAGATGGGGTTTCACCATGTTAGCCAGGATGGTCTCGATCTCCTGACCTCATGATCCGCCCGCCTCAGCCTCTCAAAGTGCTGGGATTACAGGCGTGAGCCACGTGCCCAGCCCAAAATTCTGTTCTTTTTTTTTTTTTTTTTGACAGGAAGTAGAATTTATTGGTGAGTATTAAGTGGGGGCAGCATATTGGAAGCCCTCATGAGTGCAGGGTCAGCCATTTGTCCAGAGGACCACGATTGGGGATGTACTTGACCCCACAGCCATCTGGGATGAGCCGCTTTTCAGCCACCATGTCTTCAAATTCATCAGCCTTGAACTTGGTGAAGCCCCACTTCTTTGAGATGTGGATCTTCTGGCGGCCAGGAAACCTGAACTTGGCCCTGTGCAGGGCCTCAATCACATGCTCCTTGTTCTGCAGCTTGGTGCGGATGGACATGATAACTTGGCCAATGTGAAACCTGGCCACAGTGCCCTGGGGCTTTCCAAAAGCACCTCGCATGCCTGTTTGGAGCCTGTCAGCCCCAGCACAGGACAACATCTTGTTGATGCGGATGACGTGGAAGGGGTGGAAGCCGCACCCGGATACGGAAGCCATCCTTGCCACAACTTTTTACCATGTACTTATTGGCACAAATTCGGGCAGCCTCCAGGGCTTCAGAGGACAGCTGCTCATATTCATCTGACACCATGTGGCCACAGAGCGGAAACTCATCCACTTTTGCCTTCTTCCGCCCCAGGTCAAAGATGCGAATCTTGGCATCAGGGACACCTCGGCAGAAGCGAGACTTTGGGTACGGCTTATTACAATACCGGTAACAACGGGCGGGGCGGCGGCCCATAGCGACACCAGGATCTTCAGTGGCGCACCGAAGGGAAAGAGCCAAAATTCTGTTCTTAAATATATAACAAGAGTTTTTCCAGAGGACGCCTAGTAATCTACCATTCATTAAACAATGACACTGGGAGATCCCTATTTATTAATACATGAGCGCAGAGGAATTTCAGTTTGGGACTTGAGGCCAAGGGCAGTGGCTCATAGCTGTAATCTTAGCACGTTAGGAGACCGAAGTGGGTGGATCACACGAGGCCAGGACTTTGAGACCAGCCTGGCCAACATGGCAAAACCCCATCTCTACTAAAACTACAAAAACACTAGCCAGGCGTGGTAACTCATGCTTGTAATCCCAGCTACTTGGGAGGCTGAGGCATGAGAATCGCTTGCACGTGGGAGGCAGAGTACATTGTAGTGAGCCAAGATCGTGCCACTGCACTCCGGCCTGGGTGACAGAGCAAGACCATCTCTCAAAAATAAACAAACAAACAAACAAACAAACAAACAAACTGAAGATTTGAGGCACTTGCTTTTGTTCTTAACTGAAGCAAAACTTTAAATTCAGGACTGTCTTAATGACCTGGAGTTCCATAATAGCTATTAATAACTCAAGAGGTATGCTTTATTTTTTTTTTTTTATTTTTTTTTTTTTTGAGACGGAGTCTCGCTCTGTCACCCAGGCTGGAGTGCAGTGGCCCGCTCTCTGCTCACTGCAAGCTCCGCCTCCCGGGTTCGCGCAATTCTCCTGCCTCAGCCTCCCGAGCAGCTGGGACTACAGGCGCCCGCCACCTTGCCCGGCTTATTTTTTTGTATTTTTAGTAGAGACGGGGTTTCACCATGTTAGCCAGGATGGTCTCGATCTCCTGACCTCGTGATCCGCCCGTCTCGGCCTCCCAAAGTGCTGGGATTACAGGCTTGAGCCACCGCGCCCGGCCCAAGAGGTATGCTTTAGTTTCTATGTATGATCTTCACAAACACTGCTACCTGTGGAAGATATGGACTGATGTATGACAGCGACCGTGGTAGTCTTGCTGCCTTTATTTTTTTAGATGGGGTCTTGCTATATTGCCCAGACGGCCGTGCAGTGGGGCAATCATGCCTCACTGTACCCTCTGAACTCCTAGGCTCAAATGTTCCTTCTGCCTCAGCCTCCCAAAGTGCTGGAATTACAGATGTGAACCATCGTGCCTGGCTCTTTGCTGCCTACTTTAGCAAGTATGTACTGTATATACTGTAAACACTAGATTATGAATACTATTTAATATCTGAGTTATGAAAATATAAAAACAGGTTTTAGTAATTTAAATAGCTAATAGTCTCTTAGATCTCACCACTTAGGTAGCTGTCAGAACTCTAAAAGTCAACAGTCATTTCAGTTGCGTTAGCTACTTAAAATCTGGAACCTAAGACATATCTCTAAGAATGGAAACAAACTATGGAAGGGAGATAGGTTCGTGACAAACTTTCAAACATAAAGCTTACAGTAGGCAGTTTAACCAGAAATACCATGATGATTAACACTTATCAGAGAGGTAGGTAGAAAGAACTGACTTCTAATTTTTTATGACATTAAAAGGTATTTTATCTAGTTCTCATATTTTTAATGGTTTATTTGGAATTGTTCAGCAGTCCTCTCTCTACCCTTTCTTTGTAAGCATTCCAAAGTTAGGATGTTTTTGAAGAATCTCTTACCTTTGTCTGCTTGTCTGACATATTAATATGTCAGTATCAACTTAATCATTCAAATACATTTCTCTTATTTTGGGGTTTTCTCAGGTGCTTTCTTTTAATTAGAAATCTTGTAGACTATTACTTACAGTGTTGTAAAGTTTATCAAACTCTGCATATCTCCTGAAGACAAACCATTCACTCCTTCCCACTGAAACCAGAACTTTATAAACCTGTGGAAATAAAAAAAATAACAATGTAACAAAATTTAATTGCAAAAAACCCATTAGCTACTTAAATACATTAAACCTGTTTTCATATATATATATTTTTTGAAACAGTCTGGCTCTTTCAATAAGGCTATTTTCATATTCTGAAACTGATATTAACATTAACATTTTTATATGATTCTCCAAGATACATAAACATACCAATTAAAGCACTTATTGAATCTTGTCAAATGGTATTCTTGGCTGGGCTCAGTGGGTCATGCCTATAATCTCAGCACTTTGTGAGGCTGAGGTGGGAGGATCACTTGAGCATAGGAGCTGGAGACCAGCCTGGGCAACATAGGGAGACCCCGTCTTTACAAAAAACTTAAAAATTAGCCAGGCATGGTGTACACGCCTATAGTCCCAGCTACGCAGGAGGCTGAGGTAAGAGGACTGCTTGAGCCCAGGTAAGTCGAGGCTGTAGTGAGCTGAGATCACACCACTGCACTCCAGCCTGAGTGTCAAAAGCAAGATCATGACTTGAGGGAAAAAAAAAAGGTGATTTCTTGTGATGGGAAGAATATAAGGTCAGGAAAAAAACAGGTGATATTTTATTTTTCAAATGTTACAAAATATTTCTTTAATTTTCAGGGAATAACATAGTCAACACCCACGTGCTCATTATTTGGATCTACTGAATTTCTAACATTTTGCCATTCTTGCTTCAGATTTTTTGCCAAAG